AGTTTCTTAAGACGAGACTTAGAAAAATTATAACTTATTATAATGTGAAATTTATTTTTATTTATAATTAGTTCAAGTTAAGACCATAATTTTTTATGACTACATGGAAGCTATTTCTATATAGAGTATTAATATAGAAATGTTCTGCTATATATAATTAAAAAAATTATTAACAAAAACTTCATTCGAATATAACATCATAAATTTAACTGTTGATTACCCAGAAAAGTCTACAATTAAGAACATTGTGCTGGTACAAATACCAATTACAATATTTAAATATAGAAATTATAAAACATCAAAGTTTAAAATCCAGATAATGGATCGAACAGTAGTATTAATATTTGAGCTATCATTCAATTAAAGTTAAAAAAAAAAAAAGTGCATTTCTTTTTAAAGGAAAAAAGAAAACATATCTCATAACCTGATTTTTTTTTTTTAATTAAAAAAAAATTCATTTTCAATACGACGCTAAAATTCTTGTTTATATACATATGGTATCTGGAAATACAAAACCAAGAGAAACCGTTAAACATCCAACACATGTAATTGCATCAAAAGAGAAAAAAACAAAAAAACAAAAATATATGCATGTAAAATTGTAAACATATATAAATAGAGTTGGTGTTTATTTTTGTCAAGGAGCCCCAACAAGGCTTAAGAAAATTTCAGGACCATTTTTTTGTATGAGTAACGTATATTGGGTTTAACTATCTTTGGATGGTCGAGTGATTCGATAGAAATTTTTTAATGTATTCCTAAGTTTGAATCTTTTTTTTATTGTTAATAGGGGTATCTACTAAAGTTTTTATCGATCGATAAATTTAACGTCTTAAAGGATTTATTAAGATATACTAAGTTGACCCAGATATTCAAAAAAAATCCGACACCCAGGGTTTTCTTAATGCTGAAGCATGTAGCTTAGTCATAGTTAATTTGAGGTGCTTGAGCCTATAAATAGGCAACTCCACCATGTAAATCATATAACTTGAATTCCAGCAATACATAGAGTTTATATTTTCTCTATACTTCTCTCTCGTTCATATACTGTTAGCCTGTGAGCGTTAGGCTGCTTAGCTCATTTCCGACAAGTTAAGGCCGCACAAACTTAGCAAAGAAGTTAAGTGCGTGACATTAGGCTTGCCAAGGATGTCCCGCCTGAAATAACAGTGAGCCAAAATAATGCACACAAATCAATTGAAGAAGACAAGTACTAAAGAACCTGTAGCTTGTTCCTTTCCTAAGATTATGCTACTTCTTTTGTTGATGAACAGGTATTAGCCTTGGATGAACGTTATCGACTGTCGGAATCAAAGGACTATGAGGTGAAAGTAGCATTTCTCCAGTTGGCCATTCTGTCCAAGTGCAGAGATTATTACGGTGAGGTGGAGAAAACTTTGAAGGAAGTCGGTAGGATGAAGTACCTTCGACCACTCTACACTGCTCTTGTACAGGGAGCCGGAAAGGAAGAAGAGAAGATCTTAGCCAAAAGGGTGTTCAACGAGGCTCACGACTATTATCATCCTATCGCTCAGGGCGTTGTCGAGTCTATCTTTGCCAAGCACTCGTAGATAGTAAATTAATTTGTTGCAGTAATGCTTTGGCTTAAGGGATTCACTCAGTGTAATATCAGAGAAATAATGTATGAACCTTTGTGTTATCAAATCCATAAAATGAATACCATTTTTAGTCTCCAATTGATGCCACCGAAAAACACTTGTGGATCAAATTAAGTGTTTTGACAAAGAATCAACCACAAATTAAAGAAAATTAGCAAGTGTGGAATATAATCAAATACAAAGGATGAATCTTAAAAGATATAATTATATATGCTTACAAATCACTCAAAACTTTTTAATCCAATGTTCTTCTCTTTATCAATGGAGGCAAACCCAGAGTTCTAAGTTTATAGCTTTTTCTTGAGAATGGGATTATTTTGTTACAATCCTCACTGGTTTTAAAAATATATTTATACGGTGATTGAGTTTTTTTTTTTTTTTTTTATATAACAAGGGTATTTGGACCAATTTGTCTACATCTCAACTAATTTTTTAAAATTTTAAAATTATTGGCTGGATAAAAACTTTAATAATCACCTTTATTAGTGTTTGAGAAATTTAATCTCAAAAGTTTATGAAATTTTCTTTTACTCTATGCTCGATTATCATCAAGTCACTTAAGGATTTTACTTAATATTTAACATCCGCTGCAATGGATTCTTTTAAAAAGTAAATAATATGATATTAATCAGTAAATAAATAAATATATTGACGAAAATAACCTCAGAAAGAAAATCGGACAAACGCCTTGCTTAGAACAAAAATGCTATATCCACCAAAAAGTTGCACCGAAACACGTGGAAGCCGCCACGTTGGACCGATTGAAAACAGACATAAATGGACGCCCGTCCAAATTAGCAGGACGGGCGTCCATTCCATATAATATGTGGGACGGGCGTCCATAGAGATGGACGACCGTCCTGCTAATTTGGACGGTCGTCCATCTATATGGACTGGCCGTCCCTAAATGATGAATGCCCGTCCTGCTAATTTGGACGGGCATCCATCTATATGGACTGGCACGGCCGTCCAAATTAGCAGGACGGCCGTCCAAATTTTAGGGATGACCGTCCCTAAATGATGGACGGCCGTCCCCAGTTTGTAAAATTTTTTTATTATTAATTTTTTTTTTAAATATAATGTAAATATGGACGGCCGTCCCTNATGTAGGATACCCCATTTAGTTAACATTTTTCCCTATCATTTTATTTAATTATTATCTACTCATGAAAAATGTAATTTATTTAATTTAATTATGAACATAAGCCCAATTAAAAAGTTAAAAAAAAAGTATATTGATGGTGCATATGTTCTGCAATAATTATCCTCTAACAAAGTGTAAAAAGGGGCAAGATCCAGTTAAGAGGAATCCGTATCGTTTTATATCTAAGCTTAAATTGATGATAAATGAATAAAATGGTATAAAGATGCTGATAAACATACATAAAAAGAAGTAAAATTTCCAGTATTGTGCATACTTTAACACTGAGAAAACAAGAGTAGTGTTTGAGAGAGCGTGATAAGAGAGAGAATAAGAGAAATAATTGAGAGTCTGATAAGAGAGGTCGAAATATCTGTAGTCAGACTGTAGACAAAATAATTGAGTTTTGTTGACACTTTGAGAGCAGCCCAGAACCACCGATTTAGTTTGACTTCTTGTTGTAGATCAGGAATTGATGACAGATGTGAAAGCTTTTATCATTACCATATTATTCAATACAAACAATGAATTTTCTTAACAGAAATAATCATCCAAACAACCAAAATTCCTTTACAGAAATCTTCCAATTAAATTTCATCCTCCATCTCATCTCGACAAGCATAATAAATCGACTTGGCTAGGAAGGGCGACGTGGAGGAGAAAGAGGCTCAGGCTGAGATCTGGCCTGGCCAATCTCCCAATGAGAATTACTAATGTATGGAAAAATGATACGCCTCTACAATGATGCCTTGCTTTAAGTGAACCTCAACAACCAAAATAAAACTGAAACCATATCTGCCAAACGATAGGATTTGATTAATTTCACAATTTTTTTTTTTAAGCAATCAATTAGATGAAGTATGCTTACCAGAATACCAGGAAGCCTAGTTCATGTAGTCCACTTGCTTTCCACTGCTAAACAAAAGTAAACAATAATCAATAATAAAACAAAGAAACAAATGAAAATGAAAGAATGANGTCGAGCATTGGGGCAGCCTTGGAAACGAAGCTCGTGGGTGGCGCACATGCGAGCAACCTTGGAAACGAAGCTCGTGGGTGGCGCACATGCATGCAACCTTGGAAACGAAGCTCGTGGGTGGCGCACATGCATGCAATCTTGGAAATGAAGGTGCTTAGTCACCGAACCTAGCTGCTGAGTCGTTAACTTAGCCCCTAAGTTAACTTAGCTCTTAAGTTTGCTTCACCCTGAAGTATACTTAATCAGTAAGTCACGTGCAGCATGCTTGGGCAAGCAAGCTGGTCGTGACACTTTTCTTGCCTGTGATTCGCCTCTGACGAGCAGGCAATGACTCAAATTCATCCAATATGTCCTTCAAATTATCAATCACGTTTTGGACATCGCACAGCCACACTTTCACGTCCACATTGGTCTGGTTTCTTGTATTTTCCTCGGGAACTACTTTCATAAATAGTTCAATATTTCCAGCCACTTCTCTAGAATTGAGCATAGCCGCTCGTCTCATACGACTTCAGTCTCATTCTTTCCAGCAACGTACCAAGTGTATTATGGAGCGAGTTAAACATAGGTTGAGAACTGTCATATAAAGAGAATGATGATATGTGAAATGACACTCAGACAATAATCACTTAAAATGGTGCCAGAACTCTGAAAATGAATAATACAACAATAGAATTTATAATTTATTTTTCATAATTCATCAACTTAATGGATGTTTTCAAAAATGGTTGATAAAATTAATCAAGCCTATCTCATTCTATAACTATCAATATACTATGAAAAATGTCATTTGCATAATTTGATTGTGCCCATAGGTTCTGAATAATTATCCTCTCACAAGTGTAAAAAGGGGCAAGATCCAGTCAATAGGAATTAATGATAAATGAATAAAATGGTATGAAGATGATGATAAACACACATCAAAATGTAAATATGAAAATAAAAATTTGAAAAATAGATTTAAAAAGAAGTAAATTTTCCAGTAGTGTGCTTACCTTAACATCGAGAAAACAAGAGTATAGTTTGAGAGAGAGTTAGTACGAGCATGATGAGAGAGAGAATAAGAGAAATAATTGAGAATTTGATCAGATAGTTTATTATTGATATTTTCACTTTAAAATTGTTAGGGAAAGAATTAAATGTGCATATTGACAATACATCATAATATAATATGAATGCATTTCAGAATATTTCAAAAAGCTAAAGTGAAGTGAAAATGAACAGAGTGTTTTAAAGTCTTAAATATATTAAGACGAACGCAAAAACAGACAGTATTCCATCACAAGTGCTTTTATAAGTTTATTCATCAAATAGGAAAAACAGACAGACATTAGCTATCACTAGACACTAGTTGCCTTAACTCCATTTGAACTTCATATCCTAGCTCCGTGTCTTCAATAAGATAGGTCTGCATAAACAAACAATAATAAAATAGTTAAATTACAGATTATGGATTAAAATATAAGATATGAATCATTGCCATTAATTTCAAGGTCGAGGAGAAACAAAACATGGTTGAAGAGATCACAATGTAATGACTAGATCCAGATTGTATATTCTCTTCTTGGGGGCAATGAAAACCTTACCTTAATCAGTTACGAAAATCTGAAATATCAGTAAGGGACTTAAGTACCGCACTGTACCTTGTGTCCATCTATTTCTGCTTCGCAAAACCATGGAAGTCTTGTGAACAAAACCTCTAACACCCCACATTCCTCAATTCTAAGCTTAAACCAATGATAGTCAATTTCGGGTAATTTTCCACGGAGTTTGGGGCATTTCACAAGGGATAGCTCATCCAAGCGAGGGAATATTTCAACATCCTTATTTTCTTCAACAGGATCCCAGTGCTCCCATTCTTGAAAATCTTCAAAACAAGGAGTCTTCAGTGATTTAAAAGGAGTTGAACAATCTTTTCTGAAAAGCTCAGAACCTATCCTTTTTATTCCTGTCATTCCTTTGATAGTGAGGTGTTCAAGCGAGCCCAAGCTTCCAAGTGAAGGCAATACTATACATTTTTCACATCTTTCCAGTGTTAACACCACTATATTTGAATATGTTGAATCTCCAAGCCAAGATGAAAATCTTGTGTCGGCGTAGCCTTTGATTGTGAGTTCTTTCAGATTTTGGTGAGGTTGGAGAGTGTCCAGTACATTTTCTTCCACTGACTCATCTCGTGTGTCATCCAACTGAGAGTCCCACTCTAATACCAACACTTTCAGATCCTTCTTATCAATTAATACGGAGTCCTGTGTATCTTATGAAACAGTTACATTATGTAATCTTGAAATGTAAAGTTCACGAAGAAATTTTAAGTTTTCCAAATCCTTCAGATCAGAGCCTACACCTTTGCCTAGAATAAAATTGAGTAATGTTCTAAGACATGTCAATTCTTTCATTCCTGATGGCATTTCTCTAAGTAAATTGACACCAGTAACATCAAAATGCCATAAATTGATCAGTTTCCTCAAATTGGAAGGCAACTCTACCAGATGAGAGCAATCCCTTAACAGCAAAATTTGCAAGATGAGTAATGAACATATTGAATCAGGTAATGTTCTGATCATAGTGCTGGAGAGGTTGACATATCTTAAATATCTCAAACCTTCAACTGAACTGGGTAACTTTATAATATTGTGCTTCTCCAAAGATAGCACCCCTAACTTTTTGAACTTTGGCAGCAAATCTGAGAGAAGCATATCAGTAATACGATGACTGTCATCATTACATAGGAGTCCGGGCATAAATGTCCGTAAGTTGTCAACATCATAGAATAGTTCAAATTTATTTTTCTTATCACACTCTGGTTGCTCATTGACCCCCGGCACATCTTCAGATCTGGAATATACTGTTTCTCCATGAATCCATCGGGCCATGGTTTTGACAAGGTCATGCATTCTATATTTAGACAATAATAATATTAACACAACCATGGTCTGTGGTTAAAATTTAGCTGTTATCATCCTGCTAATTAGAGCTGCTCTAAACGCGAAATCTTTAAAATTGAGTGCTAGGGTATCGATTAATGAAATGCCATGCAGTGGATGCATTTATATAAAAACAAAAAGACATGATAAATGCAACTATTTTTCTTCATTTTATGCCTACTGGAGTTCCAAAAGAACCTTTTGAAGTTCCGCAGAGGAAGATGCATCTTGGGAAGATGTATACTCAGCTAAATACTGTTGGACTATTTATCTTAACATCAGATAGAAATGAGTTGAATATACTGCACGAAGATGGGGAAGAAAGGCAGCAGGAAAAAACAGACATTCATAAAACTATATCAGGGTAACAGATTGATGCAATTGCCTGACACTGAAAAGACTTGATTCCTTTGGTAATCTGCAAAAAGATGTCATAAGATTTTCACAAATGCATTGTACACAAACAAATTAGTGCTATTAAACAACTGTAAGTAAAAGCATAAATACGTCATTAACCATAACCTTCTAAAAACCAAAGATTCAAGGCTTTAAATCTAAAACCATTACTTTGCCTATGCAATATAGGATTGTTCGTAACATCTTGCAATCACTATAGGAATGAATTGAAAATATTTATATATAGATGGGGAAGAAGGCATCAGAAGATGCAAGAGATTTGTGGAAAAAATATATGCCTCTACATCAGTGTGCTTTTCTACCTCGTCAATGCAAATAAACTGATCATCTGACTGAAACCCATATCTGCCAAGTGCCAACCATAGTATCACATATACTTCAAGCTTGCGCACACTATTATACCAGAAAGCTTTAGACTAAAGGTCTTAATAACGGAAGCTGTACTCCAAATTCCAACTCAAGTACTCCACTTGCTACCACTGATTAAAATAAAAAAAAAATATGAACATGAACATAAAACAAACACAAAACAAAAGGAAGGAAAAATAGATACCAAAAGAAGGAAGTAAACACTTTTCAGAAGAATTCTACTACCAACCTGAAACTGTTGACATAAAGTTTGAAATTTTCTCATGAAAGTAAATAATTGTTCAGGTGCTAGAAATTGACAAACCTCGGAGTACAAAGATATTATGTAGCAATTTGATATTCTACTATTTTCATGTTTCTGAGTTCATACAGCTTATCTTTCATGGATGATTTGTGATTTATCTCAACACAAGGAATGTGAACTATCTTGGACCACTCTTCTCTCTTCTTCTCTTGCACTTTTTTCCAGCACAGGACAATCAATAATATACAAATTTAAAAGTGCAGATGGGAGACCCAACTCTGGAAGAGAAGTGAGAATGGGCATTCTCTTATCGACAAATACTCCAGCGAGGTGAGGTTGTGAAAACCCAAGGAAGATAAGTGTTTCAATTTCAGGAATTTCGAATCTCCAGCTTAGTTAAAGAGGTAGGCAGCATTTTGTCCTGCGGAAAAGAGATTACATCTAGCATCCGAAATAGAAAGATGTTTAAGACATTCGAACCTGTGCAACCCCCATTCAAAAAGCGATAATTCAAGATAGTTAGATCTTCAACAGAGAGGTGATGTTAGGTTGAAGGAAAGCTTTCCGAGAAATTGAGGATTCTTGGACAACGAATGGTAATTCTTGAAGAGAGTGAGGGTTTGCATGCTGGTTGGTAAGCCTTCAAGTTTCTCACATCTATCCACTGAAACGCTAACCATGGAGTTGGAAGCCCTCCTCTTGGGAAGGAAACGAGACTTGGACAGTCATTTATCATCCACTGAAGAAGGCTAAGATTGTGTAAACCATCAGGTAAGGATTCAATTTTTTCACAATCTGAGATATTAATAACACGAAGAGGCATGTTATTATGAAACCTTGTTGCTATTAACTCAAGCTTGGGGCATATAATTCGAAGGTACTCAAGCGCCTCTGGTAAGTGGTCTCTTACCAATAAGGTTGTGAGTTCTGAGCATTTCCAATATGAAGGTGCTTCAGTGCTGCAGGTAACTCACCTTGATGGTAATGCCGTGAGCTGTGAGCATTTCTGAATCTCAAGAAATTTGAGCGCTGCAAGTAATGGGCCTTCTAAGAATAGCATGTGAGAGATGAGATTCGGATATGTACAAGCATTCAAGAAGAGATTCATTGATCACTGAAGAAGAATTGTCTCACCATCCAACAAACTTTGCAATTGCTTCAATTTATTACTGACACCTTTTCAGTGATGAAGACAACTGCTCTCGGAAATGGATTCCAGAGAATCACAACCTTTGATTTCCAGGCATTCAAGAAGAGAGAAATTTTTCAGACCTGCAAGTAAAGATGATGTTAGAGCATTGCAATTCTTAATGCATAGCACCTGGAGGGAGGTGAGGATGACGGCTCTTGTCTTAACCAATTTCCAAAGTCAGAAAAATCTGAAAGAGTCATAGACTTTAGTGATTGGAGTCAGTCAGACTACTTGCACACCATCTCTTTGCATCCTTCTATTTAGTTCACAGAGCGTCGCAAGTCTGAGAACCAAACCGCCAATTGCACACATTCAAAATCACAAGTTTCTCCAATGATTGAAGATAATCAAGTGTGGTGCTTCAGAGAGTTTGGCAATTTTTAATGCAAAGCTTCGAAGGTGAGGGAATCTTCTAACATTATCATTTCTTGGATAGGATCCCATGCTCCCATTCTTCCAAATCCTGAAAACAAAGATTCTCCAATGATTGAAAGCAACCGTCTCCATATATTCAGAACCAATTCTTTTTATTCCTGTCATATTTTTTATGGTGAGGTCTTGAGCGATGTCAGTAACCCCAGTGGAGGCAAAGAACGCAATTTTTACAACTTCCAACCTCAGGGCCACCAATTTAGAGAATAAGGATTCCAACCAACTTGGAAATTCTGAACCTGCATAACATTTGATTGTGAGTTCTTTCAGATTTCATGAGTTTTAGGCATTCTAGTACATTTTTTGTTCTGATTATTCTGTGAGTGATCAAGTTGAGAGCTCCATTCTAAGCCCAACACCTTAGGTAACACTTACTCTTAGTATGAATGTTCTTGGATTCTTTGAATTGTCCAGCTTTGAGATACAGAGCTTTTCACGCAGATCCTTCAGACACTCAAATCACCTAAATCAGATCCGGTATCTTTCCCCACTATAAAATTAGATAATGTCTGAGGCATGTCAATTCTTTCATCCCCAAAGGCATCTCTGTTATTGAATTTGCACCAGCAATATCAAGATGACGTAGATTGATCAAATTCCTTATCTTGGCAGGTAGCTCTGTGAGATACAACAATCTGTCAATAACAAAATGTAAGTTGTCAAAGAACTTGTTGACTTTGGTAAACTTCTTATCTTGGTTTGAGAAAGGTTGAGGTACCTTAAATGTATACAGCCTCCGATTGAATCTGGTAGTAATGATATAATATGTTGCTAAAGATAGACCTTAAGCTTTCTAACTTTGGCAACAAATCATAAAGAACCATAGAAGTTATGTAACGAGTACCATCTTCATATAGCTTCAGCGGCAAGAATGTCCTTAGACGCTTAGCTTCACAGAGGAGTTCAAATTTTTTCTTACCATCATGATACTAGACATGTAAGAAGAATGGCGAGCCGTTCTGATATATTGCCCCTGGATCCCAATTCATCTTTCAACTCTAAATATGTCCTTTTAGAAACCCACTGGGTTAGATCATGGACCAGATCATGCATTCTAAATTTAGTGTATATCTACGACTGTGAAAAAGGGATATTGACAATAAATCTCGAAAATACTCACCACCAATTTCTTCCAGTTGTTTATGTTTCTGTTGGTGAATAAGACCTCTGCCATCCATAAAAAGACAAGTGTTTCTCCACAACTCAAAGTTCTTTGGAAAAATAGCACAATAAGCAAAGCATCTTTTTAAATGCCAAGGAAGGTGGTAATAGCTTAATCTTAATACCGGTAGAATTTCATCATTTCATATGACTCCATTCCGATTTTTTTGTTCAGTATCCCTCCCACTCGTTCACGTTTGACGAGAGAGCAAGCCACCAAGAG